CCCAAACCACAGCCCTCCCCATGTGGGCATGGGGCAATCTCCTTGAATTAGAACAAATACGGCTCGAAATATTTTAAAATAAAAGTGTACTTATATTCATTATATTTTGGAAAACAATTTCAAGAATGAATAAAAACCGTTGAACAATTGAACCATGCAAAGTTACAAACTATTCAGTGATGGCAGTGGGCAAAGCTTAGCGATACCTTGTTAAAAATCAAAACAAATTCCACTTTTGACTTTAAGGAAGAAAAATTCTACATAAATAAAATATTTGACAGAATTAAACAACCTTAGGGTTTAAGATTACTTGTATTATATTAAAACCCAAATCGCAAAATGATGAAAACCAAGAAAGATCAATAAAAATTTATCACATAAATGATTCTTGTTTACTATGCTTTTAAAATTCTTTTCTTCTAAAGGATTCTGACTTCTGAGTTACATGTTACAACCCTGGGCTGTCATCTGAAGGCGGAGTTTATTACAGCCTTACAGCATTCCAAAAGTCTACGTTGCCTCACTAGAGGCTATTATATGATAGAAAACAAAAATTCAAAAGGCTTAAAAGAGATCTGTCATGCTTCAGACTCCTCACTTTTCTGTACAGTCACATCCTTGTACAAGATGACAGAGTTAGCAATTGTGTAACTACGCCTGCAGAAGCAGTTACAACTCTGGAATGTGACCACTGTGTTGCAATGTAGTTGGTCACCATCATATGAAAATCTTGGGAAATAAAATATCTTATTTACCTGCTGCTTCTTTTGAGAGAATAACTCATCATATAGTAGTACATCGGTACTTTAGTCTAAGCTACCGACCCACAGTTCTTGGTACTTATGATCACATGTTAAAAGAATGCTAAGACTATTTATATATACTTGAAAAGGTAAAAAGAAAGAGGAGGAGGAAAAGGAGGAGTAAATAAGGTGGGAGAGGAAGGGAAAGGATGAGCAGGAGAAGGAAGGGGGAAGGAAAATGAAACACGACTTGCTTCACAGTAATAGGGGAAGGGGAGGTGGAGAAGGACGTAGATGAAACAAAATTGG